AGGAATGCATCGAATTAATTAAATTTGAATTAAATAAATTTTTTTAAGTAGAAAACAATTACTTTGATTTGCATATGGATGGCGTATTCGGTGCATACGATATGCATATATCAGGCGTATAGGGTGCGTACTTTGCAAACCCATGGAAAGTCCCTCTTAATCCGAAGGAATAAAGGTTTAATGGTGAAAAACCCAATATTCAACGCTTCCTGACTCTTTTATTCAAACCCATAGAAAGTCCCTCTTAATCCGAAGGAATGAAGGTTTAATGGTGAGAAACCCAATATTCAACGCTTCCTGACTCTTTTATTCACGAGACAAAGCATTCCAAACAACTTTGATTCTCCATATACTCCAATGAATGCTAAACCAGTGAAGCATAACATCCACACTCTAGAACCATCACTTATGTAGCACAAGGGTGTACACAAATAATATGTCTCATTGAGAAATTTTTTATAATCATTTTATAACGATGGTAAAATTAGTTTTTGCATGATTCATACTGAAGGAATGCATCGAATCAATTAAATTCGAATTAAATAATTTTTTTAAAGTAGAAAACAATTACTGTGATTTGCGTATGGATGACGTATTCGGTGCGTACGGTATGCGTATATCAGGCGTATAGGGTGCGTACTTTGCAAACCAATGGAAAGTCCCTCTTAATTCGAAGGAATGAAGGTTCAATGGTGAGAAACCCAATATTCAACGCTTCCTGACTCTTTTATTCATGAGAAGAAGCATTCCAAACAACTTTGATTCTCCATAACACCCACATTCCAATTACCTATAATTTTTTTAAGAATTATTATTTGCGTAGGAAATGCGTATTCCAAGCGTATAGAATGCGTACTTTGCAAAACATTATGAAATCATTCTTAATCACAAGGAATAAAGGATCATCGACCCTAAACACTCCATTTTATGCACAGATAATTTACATTTTATGCACAGATAATTTATATATATCAGTTATTTACACAAAAATAAAATATAAAAAGTTCATTTCAACGAAGCACAAAACAATCCGTATGCGAATTCTGCCCTATACATTGGCATTTTTTCCTGCCAATCTTTACTCTCTCTCTCTCTACTTGGAGTTTTTTTGTTGAATAATGTTTTCCATGTATTTGCAAATAAACATTCCGCAATCTGTATTGTTCGATTAAGTTGGCGCCTTTTTGATTGTCTTGAAACTCCATTTGTTGATATTATCATCAAAAACTTCTTTGCAATCCCAATATAAGCTTGTAATCTGAACAATATATAGAATAGAATTTAGTTCACTAAAAAATAATTTCGAAATTTTTTAGCAATATAAGCTTATAATCAAACTCACAATCTTTATAGCAACACTTCTATGCATAGGGTTGGGTACAGAATCGTAAAATTCTCACTTTTTCTGATTTCGGTAACCAATCAGAAGGGTTCAGTGCGAACCGTCAATAATTGGATTAATTATAATGTTGCATGAATGAACAGAATTATAGTTTACTTGTCGATGAACAATTTTAAACTTTCATCCTTCAATTTGTAATGCTACAAGAATTAGATATAAGAATAAAATAGTTAAAATATATAATTATATATAAAATAAACTAGTATACTAACCCAATACATTGGTGAGATGTATAGATATTTATGATACTTTTCTAGTGAAATTTTAGCCTTCTCAGTTAATAAAATGTCAAAAGAATCAACATGATCATTGTCAAGGTATCCATCGGATAATATTTCGTCAATCCCACATCTTAAAATTATAGCATCCCAACTTCAAATATTGGCATGCTACTGAAATCATTAAACAAAAAATACGGATTAGGTACGTATATAAAACACATTTCCTAAGTAATCAGTACGCACAAATTATGTAATCCATACGCACACAATACGCAAATAAAATAACTATCAAGATATTTCTTTATGTTCTCCCTGATAAAAAGTTCCTTCTCTGGACTCAACATCTCCAAGCATTTGAAGTTCATTGTAGGACTAGCAGAGAAATCCTTTACTATAATATTATCAACATTGATTACTTCTTTTGTTTGCGGAACTTTTTGTGCAGGTTCTTTTTCCGGAGGTTTATTTGGGGATGGTTCTTGGGTAGGTTTTTTTGGTGATGAAACAATTAGGGCTGTTTCTACTTGGGACGGGACAATTTGGGTTAGTTCTTCTTGGGGATGTTCTTTTTGGGATGGTTCTACTGGGGTAGGTTCTTTTAAGGATTCAACAATTTGATTTGGTTCTTCTTGGGGAGCTTCTTTGGCAGGTGATGGTACTTGATGGGATGGTTCTACTGGGGGAGGTGCTTTGGGGGATGGAACTTTCTGTGATGGCTCTTCTTAGGCAGGTTCTTCTTGGGGGTGGTGACTCTTTTTCGCTTCTTGCTTTTCTTTGGGATTGATTTTCTGTCTAATTTTTGCTTTTTGTAAACCCTTTCAGTAGCCTGGATCATCTCTTGGTCAGCAGCCTTGGTCATCTCTTGGTCAGTAGCCTTGGTCATTATGTGTTCAGATGATATTCGAATATTCTCCATTGTATGGGGAATGAATGATGATGAGGAGGGAGCAGCTTGCTGATCAGGATTAAGAATTCCTTGAAGAATACAATTTTGGTGCTTGTTATCAATAAGATCAACTCTTTTCATAATTTGCTCAAAATTCTTGCTCATCCTAGCTTCAAATTCTTGGAAGATGTTGACCATGACATCCTGCACAATTTTCATTACTTTCTCTTCAAGATCATTGACTGATTGGGGTTGGGTTTTCAAGGTAGATTTGGGTTCAGGCTGCTGGGGAGATTGTGGGGGGAGATGATATTCAGGTGTGTTAGTTTGAATGGGTGAAAGAGGGCTTGATGGATATTTCTTGATACATAGAAGATTAGATTCTTCAGGGGTAACTCCTTGGATGTCAACAAAAATTTGTGAAAAATTAATCTGTAATAAATACGTAATCTATATGCCGTCTATACGCAAAAAAATACGTAATATGTACGCAAAAAATATGCAAGCTATACGCAATCGATACGCAAGAAAATACGCAATATTTTCACAATGTATACCTGTCTTCTTTTCAAATTAACAAATAATTTAGCTGTCTTCTTAGTGTTATATACAATGTCATCGCCCCATTGAAGGAAACGGGGCCTTCTCTGAGGGTACTTTGGGAGATGAATGGAAGTGTTCTCTAGGAACCAAACCTGCCTAAAATTGAGATCTTCTCAGTAAATTTTAGCAAATCAATCAGTCAAATTAAATGTTAAATTAAAATTGTTTTAGCACTCACAATTAGCAGTGTTACAAATCCATTGACATAACTTGTTGGCTTGTTCTTTAAGATCTTCAAATATACATTATTAAAATCTCCAACCAGGCATTCTCAAATTGATCATGCCTAGTTAATTGATGAAAAATCATCAACATTATTTGCTATTGTTTTTAACAACCTAGAAATTTTGAAGTTGCTTTGTTGGAAAAATAAATTAGAACATAAATACAAAATAAATATTTTCAACATAGTATCTGGGGCGCTTTCTCTAGTCAACTCAAGTATTTCAGACTTTATATCCTTTGAAGTGATTGTTGAAGTGGGCAAGGTCATCCAGGTAATCTCCTCACCTATGTTTGGAAGACCATTAAGAAGGGCCACTTCATCAGCTGTGAAAGGAACCACATGACCCTCTATAATAAAACTTTACTTTTGAATATTCCATATTGTCAGTAGCTGGTAGATTAGTGGGGCGTTTTGCTCAAATATAAGAAAATGAAGAAATTGGTAAATATTCAGGTCCTTCAACTTTTCTTCAACTTCTAGGAATTATCTCAGAAAAAGTATCACAAAATGTTCTAAATGTCGAAACATAACATCGATAATATATAGGACGGATGTAAATCTGCGTAAATTAAGAAACTAAAATTAATTTAGAGAAGCAAGTGATACGCATTAAGTACGCATATAAACCGCAATAAAATACGCAAAGCATACGCAGAGTACACATATTATACGCATTCTTTACGCAACGTATACGCATTCTATAAGCATTACATACGCAATGTACGCAACGGATACGAATAATATCAGCAGAAATCTAAGGTTTTTTACACTAATCGTTTTTCTTTATTAGAAGTTTATTTTTATGATTTAAAGATCCAAAGTATTTATTATAAAATGTTAGGGTTTGCCTTCAACATATACGCATAATACACGCAAAATATATGCAGAATAAACACATTATATACAAAGAAAATACGCAGAGAGAACGTAAACGGTGAGATAAATATAATATTTTATAGTTCTCAGAATTATTTTATTTTTTGGTTTCTTCAGCAAATACGCATTGAATACCAAACAAATACGTAGTTCATTTTATGTCATTGTAAGCATTTACGTACCTTTTTCTTTGCAGGTGAATCCTTTCCCTCCTCCATGATGAGCAGAAGAGATTGCTGGATTTTTTCAGAAGATGTTTTTTGTAGGAAGCTCGGGAGAACTGGAGCGAATGGCCGAAATGTGGAATTTCGTAAATGTTAAAATTTTCTGCATTTTTCATTGTATTTACTGGGCGGGCCTTGTGTCTTTTAGTCTACAGTTGGTCTGAAATGACAAACGGGTCGGGACTTAACTTTCCACGTAAACACGCCACGCGTAATGTTTTTATTGGCGACTATTGGTGACCGAACACATCTTTGTGATCGGATTCCACACAGAATAATTGGTTTTATTATGTTTTATACAATAATCTTGATTTCATAAATATCTCTTTTAAATTTAAATCCCGAACTGCCATAAATCCTGATATATGTTATCAAATATTTTCTCATATTTTAACAGGATTTAACATTTGACATATCAAACAGTTTTCAGAATTTCAAATTTACTAAATCCGGATTTATCATTTGTTGCCAAACAGCCCCTCGGTATTTAAAGGATCGTCTTTACTGAATATAGCCAAGACCTCCTTAGCATTATATATATGATCTAAAAAACTCAAATTTTTTTTAATAAAACTAAAAACCATCTAAGGAGAAAAGGGAGAAAAATTCGAGAATGGAGGGAGGAAGCGAGTCGTGTGCGTCATGGATCAGGCGCCCGGAGAACCGCGTGCTGGTCGTCGTAGGCAAGCCGAAGATCGGTGTCTCCCTGCCTCTCCTTGAGGTCTTCTCATTCGATGTCAAAACCGCCTCGCTATCGGCCGATCCCCTGGTTCATCTTCCTCGATTTCTCTTTCTCTTAATTCTCCCGTTCGCGTTACTTCTTACATTAAAATCCGTAATTTTTCTTCTTATATCAGGTGACCTGTGCGATGGGAGAAGAAGACGGGGATCCCGTGGGCTTTGCAGTGCATCCCAGTGGAGAGGAGATTGTTTGCTCCACGGCCAAAGGTTGCAAGTAAGCGTGGTTTTTATCTGTCTTACACGGAAAAGTTGGTACTTGCTTGCTATTTTTTCCGTATGCGGTCTTGCTAGTGAGGGTCGATTAAGATTGCAAATTAGTGGGTGTGGAATTCTGTGTGATTGGGGAAAGTTCAAGGGATAACAATTGTAATTAGTAGTTTGGGTTGGTTAGTGGTTAGTGGGCGATGGGAGGTGCTTTCTTGTTCAATACTCTCAATAAGGGAGGAATATATAATGAATAGAAGTGTGCCTTACTTCTGTTATTCTCTCTTTTCTTTATTCTTTTTGGAGTTGCACCCTCCATTTGTCTAATTATACTTGTTTCTCTCTCTTCCTTATTTTTGATCCTCCTACCCCATGGTTTTCTTGTTCTTTTATGTAGGCTTGTAACAATTGATATTCTCACACCTTCGATTGCCTATACCCACCCCCTCTGGCCCACCTTCTTTCAGATCAGTCTCAATATGCAGAATCTCATTGAGATTTGAACTTCACCATCAAAACCCTCTTCCCCACTTCTCCACCTTCCAAAATTGTCTAGGCGTCCAATATATCATTGAAATTTGAATGTATTTGTTGAAACCCTCTTTCCAACCTATCCATTATCCAGACAATCCGCTCATCCAAGACCCCATTGACATTTAAACGATGCCATTGAATGCCTCTTCCCTACCTTGATGTCTTCTAGAGCCCCAATCTCCGATTACCCTTTCATCAATCACCAATGATCCGCAATGCTATCATCTTCTAGATCCTTAATGTCTTATCACTTTAGCATCTCTCACTCACAATCCCCAACCTCATCATATTCTGAATTTTCCACTCGTCCAAGATCTTGTTGATGGACTCTACTGCTAATGATTTAGAGATCACAACTAGTTCTTAAAGCCCAAATCACTGTCACCTTGCCTTGATCCCAATAGTAAGAACTACTAGAACTTGTCTTGATTGAAACCTCTTCTCCTTTTGCTTCCTAGAGGATCGTCCAACCTGATCCGCATCAACAAACCCAACTTATAACTAGAAACTCATCCAGCTAGCTGCAACTCCAAAATTTGTAAGTGTTTCATGCTCCTTAAGTGAATGAATGAATGATATCCATTCCAAGTTTGTCTGATAATTTTTGAAATTCTAACCCTAATCCTTTATTTAGAATGTTAGGAAGTTTTTTATCTATGGTTATGTGCAAAGTATAAATTATATCATTTTCAAGCTTCTTTATAAAATGTCTATCAACTTCAATATGCTTTTTATGTTTATGCTACACGAGGTTATATGCAATATTAATCAATAACCTACTATGAAAATAGAGCCTCATCGAACCTTTTCATTAAACTTTTAATTCTACCTTTAAATCTTCCATGATAATTTTTTAGTCATATAAATTCACAAATTTTTAATACCATATATCAACATTTTTTTAGTTATATGTTAAAATGATGGTTGGAGTAACATCCTTTGAAGCTAAAGCAATTGAAACTAGACTTTGGTGTTTTAGATATAGACAACAATGATTAAAAATGAACCCATTGTACGGGTAGTTAAACGTTGTGTTGAAAGATTATAAAGGAAAATTGAGTAGTAGATTTAAAAAAAAAAAAAAAGGTGACATGGATAAAAGCTGTTAAAAAAGATTTATGAAGAATAAATTTATAATCTCATAAAACACTCACAATAAACTAATTGAAAATGAAAATTTATAATGCCTACAAATAGTTGGGATAAGGCTAATGATGTTGATGATTTTTGTTTATAGAAGCATTCAATAGGTTTGATAAAAGTGCATTTGTGAATCAATAATTTATTAAGTTTTAGAAGTTTTTTAGTATTCCTAAGTAGCTAGTTGGCGAGTAGTGTAATAAATGTTCAACCTTCTATCTCTCTTTTGTCTGAATTAAACAATTAACAAACTTGAAAAATTATATTCCAGCATTTTTATCTAACATCCCAATCTTTGTGAACCGTAATTTTTATGTGGTTGGCATTATACATGCTCTCCCGTTTTATACATCTATGTTTAAATCCGATAGAGTAAACATTTATGCTTTTCTGTAGTTCTTCTCATTATTTTAATCCACCTTTACTTCGTTGAGCTATGCTATTATGTTAATGAGTTGTACATCCTCTTTTGCACTCATTTGATTTAATTTAAATTGCGAATAATTGCCAAATTCATATTTTTGATTTATATTGAAGTAAAATTTTCTCCCTTGTTTTTGTATTTTGATATGTAATACTTATTGGACACATAAAATGTAGGCCTTCCAACCTATGATGCACCGACACTTCTCCTCAAAGAGGAGTGCAATGTTCGACATCGTATCTGACACGACACTCGTCCGACACTCCTCCGACACATGTCGGACACGCCGAAAATGTGTCCGATTAAAAAATATTAAATACAAATTGGACATGCGTATCTTAAATATTTTATGAAATTTTTAAAATATAATTTCTTGTATTTGGTGGGATTTAAACTAAATTTCTTATTTCCTATCCACAACATCAAATCAAAGTCCACACTTAATACCCAATCATCGAATATTCTCATTTTCTTTTCTTTTTGGCAGTGAAGGTATTTTCATCTCCTCTCTCGGTGACTGATAAACGACAGACGTCTGACTCTCGACATCCTAATACTAATCATTTTAGGCATAAATTCTAATTAAATAACTTATTATTTTCAAATTATTTTTAAAATTATACTTATTTAATTTTTATACACTATTTTTTAAATATAAAAACTATAATATCGTGTCCAACCCGAGTCCGTGTCCTATATTTTCAATAACTGACGTGTATCGTGTCCGTGTCATGTCGTATCCGTGTCGCCATGTCTGTGTCTGTGCATCATAGCTTCCAACTCAATTAGATGAGTAATGTATTAGATTTGGCATATGTTAAGAAAGGTAGAGATATACCTAAAAGACTTGGTTAGAAAATATTAAAAATGATATTTTTTATTAGATTTAATTCAGAATTTGACTCTTAATTGGACACAAAGGAGAAAAAGTATTCATGTTGCCAACCTCACGTAGTGGGATAAAGATTTGATATTGTTGTCTGTGGTCTGCACTACTTGCACATGTAAAACATTTTCCCATGTTCAGTAAACAATCCTTAGAGAATTGATCTAAGACGATGATTGGGGTACTATTTGGGCTGATGCTGCCGGTCACTACAATTTTTTTGTTTTATTTTGAGTAAATCTTTTTGTGTTTTTCTTGACGAAAAAAGAGAGAAAAAAAAGAAATTGCTAGACTAAAGATTTCAATGTATATCTCTTTGGTTCGCTTTTATTTTATTGCCAGCCACTTCACACTTTTCTTATTTATTATTGTATCGAAAATGAGAAATGCATGATCAAATTATATGAACTACCTTGCTTATTTTTTGCATTTTAAGTTTCTTCAATTTTTCTATTGTGTTTGAAAGGGTAGTCACGATATGCTATAAGATCTTATTATTTTTATCATGGTAACGTATTCTTCATGAATGATACAATGTTCCTGAAAATTCATGAATTTGCAGATTATTTGAATTGTGTGATCGAGATTTAATCTTCAAGCTCGTGGCCAAAGATCTACCTCCTCTTCATTCTGTTGGTCCTCAGAAGTGTCTTGCTTTTAGCACAGATGGTTCCAAATTTGTCACTGGTGGACAGGTATATGCCTATTGAGTAGTTTATGGCCAATCTTCCTTATTGCACGCACAAGTTATAGTTTATTAGTCTATTTAACAACTTGTGGTCCTCTAAGCTATTCTCCTTTTTAATGCCTAAAAAAATTCACAAAGTCTTGATATCCCAAATTTTCTCTTCATCATGACAAAACCAAGCAGCTAATGTATATGTGTTTTGCTGTCATCTCATTCAATTGGCCATCTATTTTCATGTGAACTGCATAAATCATTTTTAACTTTGTACGCAGAAATCTACAATTGTTGATTTACCGCTGATCTATCTTTCTGTCCTTAGGATGGGCATCTTAGAATCATAGAGTGGCCAAGTTTGAAAGTTCTTTTGGATGAACCGAGAGCACATAAATGCTTCCGAGATATGGATATCAGGTAAAGGGACATACTACTTTTTAATCTAAGAATATGTTATTTTGCATGAATTTTTTTTCACAATATGAATAATCGAACCGTTTTTGTATTATTCTAAAGTACTCTTTGTATTATTAATTTTTAACGAAATACAACCCTTAAAAAATAGTGACAATAAGTTGAGACAAAGCAATAACAAAAAGTTAAGATAAACTAGAAACAAAGAGTATCTACTTATTTACTGGTGTTGTTTGACGTAAGACAATTAGTTTAATTTAATAAATGATATATAAAAATTGTTCATTATTACTTGCACCTTTTTTTTTTATTCTTTTGCTTATTCAGCTCATATTAATATTCAGGTTATACATATTCGATTAGATATTCCCAAATATTTACGTTTATATTTAGAGTTTTTCCTATTTTATTGTTTAGTAAATGGATTAATATTTGAAGTGTTAAAGGTCGGGTAAATATTTCTAATGACAGTCTTCCTACTTAGGGCTTCAACCTTTGATTTGGAGATATGATCTCAACGAGATGGATAAAATTTGAAAGTAGTAATGCAATATTATAAAAAATATAAAATAGATTGAAAAGTTTGTTAGCATTGCTCATTTCATCAATTATAATGAAATATAAAATTTTGTATTGAATTATGTCTTATATATATTTTTTATATTTAATTATTTATAAAATTAATTTGCCCACCCTAAAAAAAATTTGCTGGTTTCGCTCCTGTTTTTAATATGATGGTATCTTCAACTGATTAATTTCACCAAGCCTTTTTTAGCAATCATTCATTATATTCAGTTCACCCCACCAGAAGAAACCAAACTCGATGGTTTTTGTTCTTTTGCTTTGATCGAAAGAATCAATGAGCGTTATAAGGTAGTTGAACAATAGTTTTCCCCATGATTTAATTTCTGTTTTGTTACTGGATAAAGTCTTCATCTTTCTGTGTGCAATCCCTGAGAAAAGGATTTTCACTTTTGTGATTTTCTTTTTATTTTTGGGCTCAATGATGAACCTTCTAAATTGTTTATTGGTAGCATTTTAATACACAACATAATGTTATGTGATGGAGCGATGGTGAATACTGAATAGATATTGAAAGAGATATTTGAGGAAAGAGAGAAAAGTTGGAAATCATAATCCTTGGAGAGAGGAAGAGTAGAGAAACCTAACACACACCTAAAAAACAAAACCTAACCAACACCTAGGTCGGAGAAAAGGAAAGTATGACGGAATCAAATCTTATTTTAATCATTAATTTAATTAAGCATTCTCACTTATTATAAATGCTTTAAGGCTACTAAGGAAGGATATTATTAGGTGTTGGTTTGGGACATGATGCTAGTATTCAAAGTAAGAAAGAGATTAGGATTGCAATGAAGGAAGCTGAATGCTTATGATATTGAAATCTTTTGGAAGAAAGACTTAGAAAAATGTTATTGAGTTAATCAAGATTGATTCATACATGTTTATGGAAGGAGATCTGGTTATAGATGGAAGGTTTATGAATGTCTCATTGAGTCAATTAAGAATTGATTGGCATATGTTTATGGAAAGGGTTTTGGCTATAGATTGCAACAATTTGGGTTACTATGGTAGGAGATTTGGGAATGTTGAAACAATAAGTTTAAGAGGAAAAAGCTTAAAACTTTATTCAATATAATCCCTATTTATAGACTATATAAGATGCTTAAATAAAGAAACAAATAACTACAAATTAAAGGGTAATATAATCCTTCCTAATTCTGCTACCTAACTAAGGAAGACACTTAGCGTGAGATGAGCTTTCGACGGATCGCTACTTGCAGCCGTGGGATTAATGCTGGATTGAGAGGCTGAGATTTAACACTCTCCCTCAAGCCGAGGAATATAGATCTGTCATTCCCAGCTTGGCAATCGTTTTGAGAAAGGCAGAGCTTTCCAATCCTTTGCTAAGGATATCTGCAAGTTGATCTTTTGACGGTATATGGTTGATAAATACTACAGCATTGTATATATATATATTTTAATAAAATAACTGTCCACTTCTATGTGCTTGGTCCTGTCATGTTAGATTGGATTGTGGGTTATGCTGATTTCTAATTTGTTGTCTCAATGTTCATGGGGTCGTCCCACATAATCATTAGGTCTTCTAGAATTATCTTGATTCATATTATCTCACATATTCCCAAGGTCATAGCTCTATATTCTGCTTCAGCACTAGATCTTGCTACCACATTCTATTTTTTGTTTCTCCATGTAACTAGGTTTCCTTCTAGGAATATGCAGTATCCATAAGTAGATCTCCTGTCTACTGGTTATCCTGCATAATCTGTATTAGTGCATGCTTCTAGGGTTACTTTATGGTCTCTTCTTAAGAAATTCCTTTATCTTGATTTCCCTTAAGGTAGTGTAGTTGTGGGCTCCGAAAATTCGGCCACGGCCTCCCCTGCTTTGCTTTTCTTCTTCAGGGGAGTTTTAATGGATTTAGTTCCGGGGTAAATTTTCGGAAGGCAGATGGGTTTGTAGATAAGACACTACCTAGAGATTTCGCCCTCATTTTGCGAGGACTTTTATGATCTAAGTTCTGGTTTCCTATAGGCGCAAGCCCTTATAGTTAATTGCCCCTCCTGATCACGAGAGAGAACTTTCGATTAAGGCTAGTCGTCAGTGAATACGTCGTATCAGTAGATACATGGTATACGGCATATAATACTGGGCATTTGGGATGGTTAGAGAATTGATATTTAAAAGTATAAATTTCACCATCTAACACTTAAAGCGGATGGTGGGGGAATGAATGATGGACCTGATCAAGATCCCATGGTTTTATCGTCCCTAGCCATCGTGGTCCCTGTTCTTCTTAGTCAGAGGAGGTAGTCGACCCAACCTGACAGAAGGATACTTGTCGGCAACTATGGGTTGCTTCGTCCAAGGGGACCTTTTAAACTTGGGATGGGTTTTTGTTTAAATGGACGAATTTGAATCCACCTTAACTAACAGAGGGCTTTATGCTCTATCAATTATATCCTATTGATTCGAATCTCAAGCATTTGATGTCATTAAGGAATGTATTGGCTCTGGCCATAACTGCTATTTTGTGGTGCTATTTGGTGGCAAAACCACTCGGTTCAGAGGGTCCCAGGTCATAACTATTTATCCCGCGGTGCCATTGGGTGACAAAACTGTCAGTTAGAGGGCACGTACCACGTCCTTACTAACATGAGATTATTTGAGAATGGATCCTAGTAATATTTTCGACTAGGTATTGGCTCTATATGAATTGAAGTTATTTGCAAACTGTTGCGGAGGGTTGATGGATTTTGGTTTAAGCATTTGATGGTTGGGTTTCAATTTTAAACATTTTGGGTTTGGAATGATTTTTGGATTTCTTGGACTTTCAGGTATTTGGGATGATATTTTGAAATATTTGAAATTAATCTCTCCAGTTGAGATCTATATTCAACACGATCATCATCGGGGTGGTTGTGATCATTTTCATTTGTGGATTGAACCTTGTCGACTTTATCGAGGTGTCGATAGAGGATCGAGTTTCGTAGGCTTTATGCTTTTGTTGATGAATTTCTTTGTTGGAGGTTTTGAAGGCCTTATGTGAACTTATAAAATAGATATTCTGGTCGACACCTTGACCGTATACCTACTTGATAATTCAAGTCATATAGACTCCTATCTATCTATATATAAAGATCAGGCTCGAACTACGTTCATTTATTGACCCGCGCAACTTTCCTAAACGTCACGTGTATACCCATAACTCGTTCGCTAGGAATCATGCAGGTGTTTGGGGGGTATTTTATAATTATTTTTTGAACATTGTCGACTTCTATGTACCTGCTTAGGAGGATCGGGTTCAAATTTATTGACTCGCGCAGCATTCTTAGATGTCATGTGTGTTCCTACAACACGATCGTCGGGGCCATGCGGGTTTTTGGGGACATTTTATGTTTATTTGGTGAACCTTGTCGACTCCTATTTACCTACTTAGGAGGATTGGGTTCAAATTTATTGACCCGCGCGGCATCCCTGGACGTCATGCATGTTCCTTTAATACGCTTGCCGGGGCCCATGCGGGTTTTTGGGGTCATTTTGGACAATTGACGGGTCTTTTACAATGGCTCGTAGAAGTTCATTTCGTCGTAATCTTTTCAATATTTTCTTGTGGATAGTATGTTGGATGCACGACCATTGTTCATCGAGGAACTTGCAAGCCTCAATAATCTTATCCAACTCAATATTCATGACCGAGTTGAATTGAAATTCATTCACTTCATAATGATTTGATATGGCTTTCTCTTCCCAGAACTCGTATAGGAATTAGTGGGCGACTCTTTGGTCATGTCATCATCACTATTTTTTTTTGTTGACTTAAATAAAGAATCAATCATTTCAACCTTGGGTGATTGTGTCCTTGCTGATGTCATATATGTCGAAATCAATGATTACTACCTCTAGCGGGCATTGTAGTTATTGAAGGCACATCTGGTCGTATAAGAGAAATATAATATTCAATCCTAAAATAATTGTTGCATCCCTTGAGATGATTGGAATGATAGATGTACCAGATTGAGGTTGGATAGTTGTTGAAATGTTATAGTGTCTTCGCTACAACAACTGATAGGTATCTTGAGTATGCTGCAGACATGCTGTCTTTACTTGTATAAGGATCAATTTTACTTCATGTTGAGTGATAGTAGATTATAGGGATACTTGAATATCCACTGTTTCTCACGACGCTCTTTCTGAAACTGCTTGCAAGTGGCGACGTACGTGTATGTTTGCATTTACTATCGATTTCCGTAGGTGATAATCAAGTTCCCCTTCATGGTGGCTTCATTCATTTGCTTGTGTATTTTCTGGCACTAAATCATTGTTGATGAAAGGGCTAATATTGCGTCCCTTCATGGTTACTTAATTCAAAACCCCATCGCTTATTTGTGAGTTATGTCGAATACCACAAATTATTAGAAAACCTGTTTGCATAGAGATATTAATTGTCCTTGTATTCA